TAAACACAAACAGTGACACTTTATACTGAATTCTGTAATGCACAGGGAGCCACTGCAAGGCTGTCAGCACTGGAACAATGTGATCTTTTCTTTTCTTTTTTTTGCCCCAGTCAGAAATCTAGCTAAAGGGTTTTGGGCTAACTGTAAATAAGCAAAGCTGACTGGCTAACTCCATATATAAGCTAAACTAAAGATGGAAGGCCGCACAATATAACCTCATTCTTGCCTTGTTTAGTTGTGGGAAAATATGAAACATTGAATTATTTGAAGCCAGGATACAGTGATTGTGTCCTTGCAAAGAGGAGTGATTTCCAAGATTCCCTGTTATATGTTTGTAAATCATCTGAGTTGGAATGAAAAAGACATGTCATATTCAGAGGGAGCATGTACAAAGAAAACAGAACAGGCCACAAAATAGTCTCTGGGAACTCCAGATGTCATAGAAGAGTATTTTCCAATGTAGACTGAAAAAGCCCCTTATTTAATATAAGACTGAAACCTGTTTAGAGCCAAACGCTTGTTCCAAGTGCTAAATGAGTAAATCATTATTGACTCAGTAAAAGGTAGCACTCGGGCCCAGCGGAGCTAAGATGGAACAATCACCAGACATTCAGTATCATTTATTACTTTTAAAAGAGAAGACTCAGCATTGTGAAAGTCCCTGAAACCTGACGGGAAGGTCTCATAAATTTTCTTCTTGTCTAGAAAAGACAAAAGTTGATCTAAAACAACTTTTAAAAAAAATAGAAGTTTAGCTATAAATGACAGTTTTATGAACAGCTGTGTGGTAAACTGCTGTTTCAGTGGCTGCTCAGATATTGTGAAGAATTTTGCATTAGGACAGCCCCCACTATACACAGTGTCCAAGAAAAAGGAGGAAAAAAAGACACATCTGGTCTCAAAACAGCACAAAACTTCAAGCTGGAACTTTGAGCATTAAAAGAAGCTAATGAAAACTGGCAGCACAGATTTGGACAGATGAAATCAAAATATATTTATTGGACTCAGATGGCGTCCAGCATGGCTGGAGTGGACCTGGCTATAGGATTACAACAGCTGGAGATAGATCTATACAAGTGTTAACCGTGCTGGACAGATGACATTTGTACATTTTTCTGTGAACACAGGTTTAATGCAACAATGCATAAATGATCAAAGATGATTTCTAGTCTCAAGACACTTGAAAAAACATAAATTTCACATGCAAAGCAATCATGAAATTGCATTTAAAGGAGAAGTGAAGGCTGTCAACAGTCTCCTAAATTAGAGACATAAATCCAGTTGGACGCCTCGGGAGTATTTTAAAGTTAGAGAAACAAAGACCAAAACAAACAAAAAAAGAAGCAATTTTCCATTTTCTATTCTCTTTCTTCTGCACCCACACTTGTGTTGCCCTGGCTAATATAAAGCCATTTTAGTAATATTTAGGCTCACATTAGTAAAATATGGTGCTGTAACATAGATTTATGCAGCAGTCCTTCAATGTAAAAGCAGAGTAAACTAACTTACAACTGTGTGCATTAATGTAGTCATACTGCGTGCTTACTGAAGCCCAATATTTAATATTCCTCGTCCCTGTCAGCAAATTGAGCACTTGTTGAGCTACTAGTTTAGTTTGCACTGAGTGATTTTTGGTGGTCTGTGCAGCCATTAAGCCCGAGTCAGTTGTTTCTTAATAAATGGTTTTGATGTACTTTATATAAGACCAACTGTGATGATTGTAAGAACTGAATAAAAACAGTTTAGAGGTCAACATGATCGCTTCGGGAGACTTTTGGAAGTTTTTAGTGGATAAATCATCGCCACTAGGTGGTGTTTTGACAATATTTGCATGCAATGCTTAACAACAGCTTCTTTGTTCTCTCCTAGCTTGCTATTAATCTGCACGCTGTGTTACAACAAGGGTGAAGTAAACGAGGAGGAAGGAACAAATGGACATAATGACGAGCAGGAGAGCGGATCACACTCGAGCAGGTGGAGACGCACGCATGTCACCTCTAGGGGGACTCCTGCGATCATGAATGGAATGGGAATGTGGGACTGGAACTGTCAGTGTGTGTGTGACTGTGTGTGTGTGTGTGTGTGTGTGTGAGGGAGAGAGAGAGAGAGAGAAAGAGAGAGGGAGGGAGAGAGGAGCGCTGTGAATGTAGGGTCATAGCTTTGGCTGGGAAGAGAGAAGGCTGTCCTGCCAATTTCGCAGTTTTCCCTTGCTTTCCACAAGGACAGACCCGCATCCGAAGTGTGTCACGGCGGCTGCGTAAAGACCGAAGACAGGGCTAAGCTCCACTGCAGTGTTACGGTTACTCCTACTGGATGTCCACTGGTAAGTACACTGCATGTCTTAAGCTTTGTATTGGGCAACAATGTGAATTTGCTACAGCTCGGCGACACTGAAAAGCAGTCAAAGGATAGAGCCGTGGAAAAGACTGGGAGCAGTGGACTTGCACTGGAGTGTGTTTTGCTGTGATGACTGCGGCGGCGTTGAGCCGCCTGAACTATTCAGCGGGACTGTACACTACTGTACACAGGCGCAGACATCACTTTATTTACGTAACGTGACATTTAACGCGAAGAGGCGAATCAGCCGAGTGACACTTGGCGATCCTGCCCAGAGCGTTTCACCAGCGTCCTCTTGCCCAGTGACCTGTTTGGAGTCCAAACAGAATGACGTACGCGTTTATGTTGGGGAACAGGCCCGGCGTGTAGCCCTTTTACAGCCCCTATCACTGTACAGTAGTCCTGTGAGCTGGATAGCACATTCATCCGATATCAGAGGATCAGCTGCCAAGGCAGAAGTTGCCCAACGGAATGTTTTACTCACGACAAGTTAGTAGAGGCGCTGATGTGTGGCAACCTGCACTTTCTTCTGCAACCCACACACTCCCGGCTGACTCCAGACTATCCGGGTCTCCATGAGATTTGTGGTTAAAGCGGCTACATTTGAACACTGGGAGCAGAGCCTCAGTGGCTACTTAGAGCGTCCTGTTATGTAATGCGCTTCGGCCGACTGCCCCTTAATCAGACACAGCCTGGGCCTACAAGTGTAGATGCCAAACATGTTTTCGGACATCAGAATCACGTTAGCGCCGCTGACCGCAGGTCCGTGTCAATGTGCACAATAATACAGATATTTGCTCGCACTGCGAGGCAATTCGACGCATCGTCCTCATTTTTAAACGCACGCAGGACGGCTGATTCCAATGTACACATGTGCAATGTACAGATTCGCTTCGTGGTTTATGGCAGATGTATGCCTGCACAGATTGCATTACATAAGAGTCGCATGTCGCAGTCTGACCTGTCGTAAATGTATAAGGATGAGTCGAGGACTAAGGTTGTTTCTGCAGGAAAAAATCAAGGTGAAGGGACACATGCTCGCAGTGTGCCAGAGTGGCTCATACGCCAAAAAAAAAACAACAGCATGCTAATTACTTTACCAGTTTGTAAATGTTGTGATCAGCTATTAATCTATTATTAAGTAGGAAGGAATTTAATTAAATAATAGTTACGGAAGAGATGGTTTCCCAGCTTGCACCAGTGTGGGTTATATTTAACATATAGTTAAATAGTTATCCTTTTAGTTTTCAGCTTGGCAGCTTTCATGTTAGAGGCTGCTGTTGATTATAAACATGTGTGCACTTCATGCTTGCTCTTCCCACCATTAGTCTTAGCTCTGTCAGCCTGGGAGATTTGCTTATTGAGTTTAGAGGTTAGCGCTGTCCTTGACATGTACTGCTAGAATCCAGCTATAGTGAGTCATCAAAGCTAATGGGGGAAGCATGGACAATTTAATCTGGACTGGAGAGCTCTTGATCTCCGATGGTGCCCACTCACTAGGCCTTTGTTGTCAAATAGAGCACACCCATGCCTACCCACTCGAGATGTTAGGGGCAGATTTCGGTGGCAAAGCATGGCAGAGTGCTATCCACCAAGAAGTGGTGTTTGATACCAGTTGTGGAAGCCGGCAATCAGTGTAGAGCTGGTTGGAATGGGACTGCATTCTTTGTCATGGTTTCAGGATAAAACCTATGAACGGCACCTGCTGCACGAGGCAGGAATTAGAGGAGGTTCTGCTTGTACAGTTCAGCGTTTTGCAGGCAGAAGAAAAAAAAAAATTTAAAGTGTGGTTCCAGGCTGGCTGAGGCATGGAGAGAAAAGAAGTGGAATGGGCAAACCATACAAAGACGCATAAATAGGCCCTATAACACCAAACATACGTGTAATATGAAAAATGAATACTATTAATGTTAATGCAATCAGGTGATATTCCCTCATGCTTTGCTTGCTTAACAATATCACATGTTTTTTGTGTTTGTTTTTTCATTTGCTTTTACAGGAGAACAGGTGGTTTTTAAAGGCACTCGGCGGTGTATAGTGTTGACACACTGACTGTTTCTACAAAAGAAAGCAACTCAAATGCAGACACCCCTCTGATGCTTTTGGCCAACTTGAGCTCATGGTGTGTGCTCGCTGGGGTAAACTAGTGGCCTGGCCAAAGAGCGCAGTGTTGCTAAACACAATTAAGCCAACACAGGTGAGACGATTCTCAAATCTCTATATCAAAAGAGATTAAAAGCTTCAAGATCAGTTCTGTTTTATGGGAAACATTACCATTTGTATGTTGTGTTTTGTAGGATGTCATGGGCCAGAGACCTCTTTCCAGGCAGAGTGGACGAGCGAAAGACAGCATGGGGAGAGCGCAATGGCAAAAAAAGGAAGGACAGCTCGTCACTATGCAACCCACGTTACATGAGCTGCCTGAGGGACCCGGAGGACTTGGAAACCCCTAATGCTGCCCCTCAAAATTACCACTGTGGGGCAGGCACCAGTGGGAACAATTTTGGCCTGCGCTGTGGCTGGCAGGAAGACCACTATGGGAAACGGATGGTTGGTGGTGGAGATCTGGGTCTAAAGGCTGTGAATCTGGGCTTCGAAGACGGTGAGCTGAAGGGTAGGAAAGAGGAGGAATTAGGACAGTTCTCTGAGGGCAGCTGCAAGACAATGACTGCCGCGGACTGTTGTATGCAGGTCGTGCGGGTTTTTCAATCCAAGAAATTTCAGTCCACCAAGCTGGAACGTCTTTATCAGCGGTACTTCTTCAGGCTCAACCAGAGCTCTCTGACCATGCTAATGGGAGTTCTGGTGGTGGTGTGCGTTGTTATGCTTACCTTCCACTGTTTCCAACCTGAGTCAAGCCTCAGACCTGGCTACATCTCGGTACTGTCTGTGGCCATGGCTCTTTTCCTGGCGATGATGGTGGTGTGCAACCGCAACGGCTTCCACCAAGATTACATGTGGATTGTGAGCTACCTTGTGATCGGGGTACTGATTGTAGTGCAAGTATATGGGATCGTCAGCGTGTCCCCCCACAGTGCATCAGAGGGCATCTGGTGGACAATGTTCTTCATCTACATTATCTATACCTTGTTGCCAGTCAGAATGAGAGCTGCTGTGCTTAGTGGAGCTGTGCTGTCCATCGTACACATAGTCACCTGGTATCTCAGCAAAGACAATAAGGATAAGTTCGGTTTTTTTAAACAGGTAAGTGATGACAATCATTCTAGAATAGATGGAGATATGCATTTATATTTAATTTGATGTTATTTCAACATCCATAAAGCAATTGTTCAGTAGAATATTTATTTCAAAACATTCAGTTTGAGTTACTTTCAAACATCATTTATGTTTTATATTGTATTGTTTTTTTCAGTTTTTTACTTTGCTTCCACGTGTGACCGGTGTGTTTTTGCGTTGTGTTTTTGCATTGTGTCTGACAAAGAAAGGTAAAAGAAAGAAAGACCTCCAAGTAAATAACTTGCTCGCTCCAGCTCCTACAACCAAATACAAACAGTGGGGAAGAGGGTTAGCTCAACCCATCACAACTTCCAAGCTAGCCAGAATTATATATTCATGCTAGCATTAACGG